CATGCTACCCTGTTCTCAATCCAAAATTAAATGGGTTGTCACCTAAACCACACAAATTTTAACTCTAACTCAATAAACTTTGGTCAATGATGACGTATCCAATAACATATTTCTATCTAAGATGTGCGCGGTCACATGACAAGACTCACAAAATTGGTATTTGGTCCACACAACACAACTATTCAATTATAACAAAAATAAATTATATTGATGTGTTTAATGAGATTATATATTATATGGTCCAATATGTGAGCGGAGCCCCCACCAAGATCTGGGAAGAGATAGGATAGCGGAAAGAGCACTATCTAACAATTTTCTTGGTAGATATTGGGATTAGAAAAATAAAAGGATCGAAACTCGGAAGAAAGAAAAGTTTGGTTGGAAACGCAATTAGCCACATTTTATGGAAGTTGTTTCTGCACGGGACAAGACAAAGTTTGAGAAAACTGAAAAGTTTTGGGCTTCATTAGCTTCCATCTCTATCCTTATCTTTGCTGGTTCCTAGGAAGTTGCTTCTTTTGTTGACCCTAACATTCAAAAATGAGTTCCGTCGTTTCTTCTTTTTTCACTTACCGTTTGTCTTTTTCAACCATTCCTTTTCTTATTTAGCTTCAGAAATTTCTCTCTTGTTCCCATCATAAAGAAATTAAGATTACACAATGTGTATAGCCTATTCTCTTCTAAAAATTATGATCCTTGTGAAGTTATGTCATGATCACCAAGTTTAGAAAGGTATAATAAACATTTGAGTGACATTATGCGTATTTTATATTTTTAAAAAAACTTATGAAATTTAGATATGAAATTTTAAATCGGAATAACCAGTACCAAACTTTTGAATTTTGCCAAAATTTGCTTAAGAAAAAAAAAATTATTAAAACACTAAAGTCGGGGTTGTTGGTCCAAATAAGATGTAAAACACTGTATCGGGCATGACCCATTGGAAAGGGGACCCATATTGGGCTTATCTATTTATTGGCATGCTAATTCTAATTCACTCAACCCGTCATGTTAAAGTCAATTGGTGGACTCGCTTTGTTCCCATTTCCATGAAAATACAACAAAACAATTAAAACTACAATGTTTTGAGATAGCTATCTTCTACCCATTAAACACGGCAAGGCAATATCTTAGAACACGTTACAGTTTTTTTTATCTGATAAACGAAAAATTGTTACTTCTTTTGCTATTACTCTTTCAATTTATTACTTTATTGGCCAGTGTATTGCAATTTTTTTTGTTGTTTCATTATTTAATAAGTAATATTTTTCTTGTTTAACTTATATTTTTTGTAGATTTATTTAAATGACGTCAAGGAAGGACATGATACATTCTTTTTTTCTATATTTTTTTATTTAAAAATATGCACATAAGGATAGGAATTGGGCATGTTTTGAATATATATTCGTTTATTATATATATGAGTCTATCTAAATTTACTCTGTTTAATAATTTATGTTTTACATTAAATTTTAATGATTTAACCGTTGAATTTAAAGTTCTTAATATATAGGTGAGGTTTGGAAAATTTTAAAAAAAATTAGAAATCATTTGATATTTTATTTCATTAATTCAAATTGACGGATAATCATAAAATCATTTTATACATTGATTTAAATTAATAAAATAAAGTATCAAATAATTTTTAAATTTTTATTTAAAGATTTAATATATGCATTAAAAACTTTAAATTTAACTGCTGGATTGTTAAAATTGAATATAGAACATGAGTTATTAAACAGAATAAGTTTATATTGACTTACTATCAGAATAAACAGATTCTTCTTCATATATATATATATATATATATATATATATATAATTCTAGGTCTATTTTTGTTAAACCCAATCTATTAAAAAATAAATATATGATTTTCATATTTAATATTTTAAAAAGTAAATATATGATTTTCATGCATTATAAAAATTTAATATAGCAATAATTAAAAAAATTAATATTTATTATTAAATATGTTATCTTTTTAAATCTAGAAAGCTTTTTAAAATAGCTTAAAATCTTTCTTTTTAAACTAAATAAACTTTTATAAAAGCTTTGGGTTAGTTAGTTTAATAAAATAAATAAATAAATAAATAAAACGAGTCTAGCCTAATGTAGTTAACAATTAAGAACTTATAATATGCTACATTTATTTCATGTATGTATATTCGTATTAGGCTATGCCTCACCCACATCTCAATCCTATAAAAGAGATATCTTCTAGTCTCCTGCAACACTAAGTAGACCCTCTTTTTATATACCCTTATTTTATTAATTCTCATGTTAGATTTTAGCATTAAAATATTATTTTGTATCAATAAAATATGATATGATTGATAAATATAAAAGTTTGATTCATGATCAATATGTATTAAAAAAATATATATGTTAAGGAATTTAACTTCATCATTTTGACACATAATATTATTCTCACCACCACCATCGCTAAACATTGTCATTTACCGGAATAATGGTGATCATAACACAAGATCACTTGTTTAAAAAAAAATTAAAAAGAAATTCGCTGAAAAAATGATGTAAAATGTTATGGAATTTGATCGAAGGCACAGAAGGAATCCTCGATTATTTATAAAGCATCCTCACCTACCGAGAAATGTCGAGCCAAGGGATGTGGCTCCGACAACTAACTTTTTCTGTCAAATTGGTACCATGTTTTAATTTTCTAATTCTTTATTCGTTTTGTTCCTTTGACGAATACATAGACCAGTTCATTGTGTTTTTAAAATCTATTCACATAAAGAAATGTACAGGGTACCTACTATAATATTATAATTTGTGACTTATTAAATATTCAGTAATTGTTAATTTTATTATAAATACTATGAAATTTATTAAATAAAAATGTTTTACAACTAATTAACTTGGGTATTTGATGTTTAATATTAGCAACAAAAAAAAAGGAGTAATGTAATAGTGCCACATCAAAACTTAAAAATTTGTTGTTCACTTTGGCTAACTTTCTAGAGCATATATAGCAACTTTCTATGGCATTAGTGGACCTTTTCCTCGTTATTTCCGACTAAGTCTCTAAGAATCAGTTTAATATATATACGACTTCAGATTATTATGATAACATTGCATCCTTATCTAAGACGCGGATTTTTGTCTGAAAGGGACCCAACTATGTTTAAAATTTAAAACTAAATTATTGATCTTAGTGGAGAAAATCTATCGATGTCTGGAACAAAACAAACAAGAAGGAATAAAATATTGAATTTGCCACAATTTCTTCCTATTTAAAAGTAGCATTGTTTGGTATAAATTTTTTTGCAATAAACTTGTTATGAATATTCAATAATCAATTTAGAAAATTTACCAGAACTCTTTCCTATTATTGAGAAATATATTTTTTTTCTTCAATGATGATTAACATGCTAATAGCCTAGCAGTCTGGTACTCAAGTATGTCTAAAGCTGTGTCATTCAAGTACCAACAGCACGACTGAATGGGCCTCTTTGTGCTAAAACGGTTGAGCTTTGAATAGTTTTAGGTCCATTGGGCGTTTAAAACTGAAGAAAAAAAAAAATCTACTACCGCACCACTTTCTACATGGTACTTATAAATCAGACTAAATTATTATTTTTTTCTCTCTATTTTTTTTTTTAAATTTAATTTGATTTTATTATTTTTAAATGGTTCAATTTGGTTCTCTTATTCTTAAAAAATATCCAATGTTATCCTTCCGTCAAAATTGACATTAACGACGTTAATGAAATTTGATGGAAAAACAATATTAAACATGATCAAATTAAATAATTTAAAATATTTAATTTAATTTCACTATTTTTACAATGTTCAATTTGATCCTCTAATTTTCAAAAACATGTTCAATGATGTCATTTTATCTAATTTCGATAATTTCGTTATGGTTAATTTGGATGAAAGGATAATATTGAACATTTTTTTTTAAATTATGGGACCAAATTGAACATTTTAAAAATAATGAGCCTAAATTGAATCTTAAAATAAATAGAACTAAAAATATAATTTAATCCATAAGTTATAATGAGACTATTGTTTTCAAATAGATATGATAATGTTAAAATGATATAGTTAAATTATATTACTAAAACGCCTCAAAATCAATTTGCTTTTAGTGATGAAAAAGATGAGAACACTAGTCCAATTAATGAGCGAAAGTGAAAATACTTACAAAGATACTTTTGGATAATTTCATTTTAACTCAACATTTTTGTTTTTGTTGTTTTTAGAGGTTTAAATCCAATATCCAATAGCACCCCCCCACAAAATTGTGCTTTTCAATAATTAATTCAGAAATTCATTTTTAAGAAAGCTATAAATTTTGAAGACAGGATATATTAAGTAAACTGTCAACTTGATCGAGTTGGAATGACTTGATTGGTGTGAATACAATCTTACAATTTCTATGATGAAATATAAAGAGTTTGTAACTCACATTTATCTTCCATTGATCATAACTGAACAATGGTTGTGAATAAACAGTTTGTAACTCCTCAAAGATACAATACATTAATATAATCTTTAACCAGTTAATATTTAAAATCTCTCGAAATTGTCATTGCAGTAAATCCCTTCTATGGATATGGATTTACCTGTGCTTAAATGTATGCGTTTTACGTGTGGGGGGTGGGGGGGTCCAGGTCAAATCTCAATACTATATGCAGTGGTTCAGATTGAGTTCTGAAATACGTCTATCTTAGTTCAATGTTCTTCTGTAATTTCCTAAATTTTGAGCCATAATTTTGTGCAAACAATACCGCAAAGAAGACTCCAAATTACTATTGCTCCAGCACAAAAAATTTCTCCTACAAACGTCACAAAAGTCGATCATAAATATGTATTTGATTTCCCTGTCTCTCTCTTCCTTATATAAATCGCTTCAGCAGAGTAAACGTACAAAATTTTTGCGCATCCTAGGATTTTCAAAGTTCATATTTTAAAGCCCTTCTCAAAGCAGTATAGTATGGTTCTGCCCCAATCAATAACTGGCAATTCATTGAAAAGTCCTTGTTAACGCACTGTTGAAGAAAAAACTGCACTGTTGCACTAGCATAGTATGGTTTCTGCCAGGATCTATAACTGACAAGTCATATACTAGCTCCAAAAAAAAAATCTAACATATAGATAGACAATCATATAACATATTAAGACTATATCCTTTCATTCTTTTGCAATACCTTGTTCAAAACTGAAAATTCAGAACATCACATGCACCATTTTATACTCTTTTTGTGAAGCACGAAGAATAGGTGATTGATTCTAATATCTTCATTATAGGCAGTCTCTACTGAAACGCACTTATGGAGTTTTGGTAGTGATGGGGTCACCAACTGACAGCTAAAACTGCATGCACCTGACTTGTTTTATTTTAATTAGACCAGTCAAGTGAGTTGAGTCCATGGTATCAGTAAGACTGGCAACCATCTATGAGCTGAATTAGTCTCCTGAGTAAGGAAAGAAAATGTGTCAAGAATTCAACAATAAATGTCAGAGGACCAGGGATTAAACAATCAGTAGACAAACATCCGTATCAAAAAAAATATAAATTGGCTAAAAGCTAAATTCTTTGTAAAATCTGATGTTACATACATAGCATTACCCGGTAATAATGAAAATGGAGTAGTGAAAATTGTACGGCTTGGTGCAATACTATCAATTTTGTTAATTATTGTTGTCTTTCAATAATTATATGTTGTGGTATTTTGAGGTGTGGTGTTGAGAGACTCTGGAAGTTAAGGAACTCTTGAGGAGTCTTTAGATATTTTAGAGGGTTTTTCTAAATAGAAGTTCAGTTTAACCTTAAGGAGAGGAGTATATAAGGTTTATTTTGAGAACTAAGTTTCGTAAGTTCATTTTTCAAAGAACTTTAGAGAAAGAGTATAGTGAGAGAAGCTTTGGAGTTCTGAAAGCTTTTCTTCTTCTTCCTAGCTTCTTGAGAGTCATAGAGGATCATTGTTGGGTGATTCGAAGCTCGTAACTAAGAATCTAAGTCAATGCGGGACATTTCTTAGTGATAGCTCAGAATTCTTCTTCTTCCTTATTCCTCTCAAATTGGTGAGTTAAAGGAAGCTAGAACCAAAATTGTTGATTGAGTGTTGAGTTGTTTTACATGAATTAGTTGTATTTATACTAGTGGAATTGCATAATATTGATGCTTCATTGTGGAGATTGGGTGTTCTTGGTTTTCAAGAGGAGAACCCAGTGAATTTTCTTTCTTCAATTTGCTATCATGTTGGATGGATTCAAATTGTATGATGAAGTTGTTAAGTTTTGGTGCTTTGAAGCAAGTTTGAGGTGAACTTGTCGGTTTTGATCAAATTGGTGATTACATGTTGAATTTCTTGTGGCATGAGTTGTTGGTGATGTGTAGACATGTTTTGTGCAATGCATGTTTGATTTCCTGATTTTCAGGTAAAGTGAGGACCAATTTGCGAGTTTGTTATGAGAACTCACTATTGCACCAGACGTGCCTTTATGTCATCAGATATGGTTTCAATTAGAGGTTCTCTATCTTGTTCATGTTGGACGCAAGATTAATGGCCCTGGAAGTGAGGAGAGAAAATTGCCTTGAGTTGAAATGACATCGAACATGGTTTAAATGACATTGGACATGAGGTGAGAAAATTATCTCTGCCTGATTTGTCCCTGAGCGTCAAAGGAATGATGTTGGGTGTAAGGAGAGAAATTCATCTATGCATGGATTGAGGTCAAATGTGGGATTTCACCATGTCAGACGTGAGGGCCCAGGGGACACTGCCTCATCCACATTGGGCACGAGTTGAATGGCATAAAGCATGGTTGAAGCATAGAGCTCCTTGCGTCAATGGTGCCAAGCACAAGGTGGATAACGTTGAGCTCAAGTTGCCTTGTAATAATTTTTTTGTATGATTAATTGGTGAACATAAATAGGTTAGATGAAACTATTGCATGTTATATGTTGCTAGGTGTGATTGGGGTTTATGTATATTGACCTAAAATAATATATGTAGATGGTTATGTGGTTGAACTGTTGAAGTGCAATTGTGTTATACATCGATTAATGCTGTTAGATCTAAATTCATTGACCTTGGATAATGCATATATATGATAATTGTTGAGATTTGATGTTGATAATGCTTTAGGCATTTAGGTGTGATTTATTGACCTGTTGAGGTGTTGATACTAAGAATGTTTTAACCATTTAGGCCTAATTTATTGACATATTGAGATATTGATGTTGAGAATGCTACAAACATTTAGGCATGTCAATTGACTTAGAACTAGTAAAGGAATTATTTTCAAAAGTTAGATATTTTATTGTGTGGATATTATTGTGAGCCTAATTGTTGAAAAACTCTTTTTCAGTAGGTGTTATTTTTTAAAGTAAATCATTGAGTCTTCTTTATATCCTTAATTGATGTTGGAATAAGGTATAAAGTCAATGACTACAACACTTAATTGATTACTGGAAAAGTGCATAACATTGTAATGATAGTTAGCTTATTGAGTTCTTATTCTTTCAAACTTGTTGATGCCATGATTGAGTTATTGTGGTGTTGTAGACCACAAGGTGTTTTGTTACAGGTTTACATGTCAGAGCTTCTAGTTAGTTGCATTTCTTCTATATTGTTATATGCTTATTCCTTTGAAAATCTTACTCTTGCATGTTTCCTAGTGGTTGAACTACAATCAATGATCATGTTTTTTATAGAAGTAAAACAAGGTTAACGGGAAGCAAGTTGTAAGTTTTGTGAGACCATACTAGTGGATGACTTGCTGTTGATTTTGTTGGATTACCCCAACATAACCGATTTCATAGGTATTATTTTGCCGACAACTCTTTATAGTTTTGAATCATCACACACACATATATATAGTTGTATAGCATTTTTGGTAGGTGATGCAACCTTTATTGCATGTATGTACATATTGTTATTGTGATTCTAAGATCTATCTATGTTAATTTTAGGTGGTTGTTATTTTTGTTGCTAATTGCCGATTTTGTTATGTGTAAGGATTGTTGCAAGTCATTACACTTGATATGTGAAGAAAAAACCCGTTGGTATACTTTCACTTTCACATATATAATTACAAAGAATGTGATAAAGAATCTGGAGTCCTTAATATGCATCCATGGACATCTTCAAAGAAGTCTACCGCACAAAAAAACTAACAATTGCACCCAAGTAGTCGTGCAGCTGAAAAGACAAAACAAAAGTTTACACATCAAAACAGCAAACAGGAACTGTTCAGCCAAATGAATGTAATCAAATCCACATATATCTCCCATTTGAAAAAGGATAAAACTTTGATCATGTTTCTTTCTTGACCTCAAGTTCACAAATGAAACATAGACATGTGGACATTTTTCTAAAATTCCAGAACATTTTTGTAATGGAATCTATTTTCTGTTAGAAAATGTTATTGTTTGATTTGAGAATTTAATGATGAAAATATAAGAAATTTTATTCAATTTTTGTCCTTTGGAAATTAAAGGTGTATCCCACCCTAGAAATTTTGTAGGTTAAAATCATTATGTACTAAAGTCTTAAAATGAATCAAGTATCGATAGACCCTTACTTGCTCATATTAGGGACAAACTCAAATTAGAAGAGCCTTATACTTTCCATTAGGTGTATACATTCAAAAATGCTCTCACATACGTGCAAGTGTTTATTTGAGATCATGTAATTTCGAGTGTATGCCACAAGCACATGTAGAAAGAAACATTTCCAAATTTCACCTGAGTCAGAATGCTTTTTCCAGTTTGACCTTCAATAACTAGGCCAGCCGTGAGACCAATCATTGCCCATGCTCCGTTAATTGCCTCAATTTGGCGTCTTATCTACAGTCACAACATTAAGTTGGCCAAATTTTTAGGAAATTGAGGAACGTGGTTTCATTAGAGTATACTCAGTTTTCTTCTGTCCTAACTGAGAATAAACAGGAAGGAAAATGACTTTCAAACTTCTTGTATACTTCTATAGTAAAAGACAATAATCCCAGATGTGATTCGAATTCAAACATAAGATAGCTTTCACCTTGAGTTTCTCTTTTGCTTTAATTCTTTCCATTTGCTTGGCAGCCAATCGTTTGGCTTCCACAGGATCAACCATGACTACATCATCCTTTGATCCTTCCTTTCCTGAAGCTACCTGCATAATTATTAATATAAATTATAAAAGACGAAATGTCAAATAGATTAACGATAATTTTACACAGAAGGAGCACGAAAAAAAAGTTACCCACGAAAAGATGGATATACATGATTTATAAATGTAAGCTAAATATATTTTTTTTTTTAAAAAAAAAAAAAAAAAAAAGAGGCTAAAAGAATGAATAGCTCAGGTCCTTCAGGATAAAGCTCCAGAATAGTATGTCACAAGAAGACACCATCCCTTATTTTCTCATAGAAAGCCAGAAGCTAGCAATGAAGCCAGATTCCAATTATAAACATGCAGCAGGTAATGATTATGGTCACATGAAGTAAAAACATCAAATATTGTCACAAGAAGTAATTATATCGTTTAAGATTTAGGTATTAGTTCAACGTGAGAATAAAGTTTCTTCGTCAATTCCTCTTCATTAAGTCTATTTAGCATAAAACAGGTATACTAAGAAGTCATAATCCATTATTTTTTAATATTGGGTTCAGCTACGTATATTGTTTTGAATATGCATCATAGGTTTCCCTTCACTATTTAGTCTTCTTTAATTCTTTTTATAGCTATAACTCCCACAGATTTCACAACTGTGGCATTCCTCACAGTGACAAGACTTTCTAACTTTTCCATACCTTACCATCCCCGCTGAATTTTCAATTCACTACTTCTGCATTTGTATTTTTATGTCATGTTTAGACTTTAGAGCATAACCATAGAAACTAGTATATTTACGAAATGCATAAAAGCAACACAAACTGAACACTATTTGAGGAGATCACACATATAACTTGAAAGCTCTCAACAATAGTAAATAAATTCAAAAGTTCAAATTTCATAAAGAAGCATCCCATCTGAATAGTCTCGTAAATTATTTTCAGCCAACAACGAACAACACAGTAAGAACAAGGAAATCTTCACTTCATGCATAACATAACTAGGATTTACCAGGACTCGAAATGCTTGACCTCGGGTTCTGTTGGCAACTATGCTTGTGTCTTGCTCCTTTCTCCATCCCCACCTAAAACCAAGAGTGTAATCTCATTAAACCCTAAAAATTAAATAGTTAATTTGATTTAGAACTGAACTCCTAACAGGTTTGATTAGGTTAAAGAAATATTCTGATAATAAAGAAAACGGTTGTGTAAGATAGTTATTGGATGAGAGTAAGCATAAAAGGGAAGAAGAACTTACGTGAGGAAAGTGGGAGAAGGAGAGCGGTGGTGAGCGTTAAAAGAAACAAAGTGAGGATTGGTTGGCTGTAGAGATTGAATGGTGGCCATTACCCTCCGCACGCCGTGGCTGCTACTCCTTTTTCTCTTTATCCACCCACGATTCCCACTCCCCAACTAAATTAATATTTAATATATACGGAGTAAGACTATTTTTCCTTCCTTGTTCTATGTAGGTTCCAATTTCTAAACTTTTTTTTTTATATAAAGAATAAAAATTTGAATAAACTCTCAATTTATAACTAAAGCGTTACCCTTTGATTCCGAATCATCATTAAATATATACACAAATATTTAAGTATTAGAAATTATAGTAAATAAACGCTAGTGAAATATATTTACTAAGTGCCTAAACTGAGAATATTCCATACTTGAAATATTACTTATATAATTTTATAGATTAAATACTAGAGAAAATGACATTTAAGGCACTAAATTGATAGTTTATTAAAAGAAAATCTCTTAAAATTAATTTTCAGGATCGATGTCAATATTTTCTTTTTGCAATATATACTCAATAAATATAGAATTGCGAACACGTCACACATTTACAAAATGATATGTATAACGATAGTGATTAAGAAAAAAATTTAAAATATTTATTACAATTAAAACTACAAAAAAAATTGTTGTATCTATTTTTAAAATAATAAAAATGTGATAGTTTGTATTAAATAATTCTTTATAGGTATCATTAGATCACTGCTAGTATTTTTTATCCTGAAAGATCGATAAACAAATGCAAACTACTAAAAATTTAATAATGAACTAGCACCGATGTATGCTTAGTATTAAAATTTTCGTACTTCTAAAACTTTATAATTTAATGTACAATGTAAAATTAATCAATTCAATAAATGAATCATTTATCGTTATTTTTTTAATTTTATATTTCAAAATTATGTAATTTGAAAAATTGTTAATATTTATGAATAATGTACTAAAAGTATTTTTTTTTAATCATAGTATTGATATGAAGTATTTACTCTTGAAAGCAGTCATTAATCTTTATTGGGACCATGAGTACACATAAGGTAAATATTATTCTCCCAAAATGATTTATTTTATATTCAAATATTAAGTAGTTTTTAAATTATTTTACATGTTCTTTTATCTAAATGTAGAATTTATCTTTCTTTTTTCTCAAACTCTATGATGAGTTTTGAGTAAATGGTTAAATTAGTCATTGGAATTGTTTATCATTCTTTATATAGTTTATGATTCTAATGAAACTTGAAAAAAAAAATTGTTAAAAATATAATTTTTCACTCATTTAAGTTCTTTTCGTTAAATAAGCTCCAATTTTTTTAAACAAAAACATTTAAATGACATGATAACATTATGAGACATACACGTGGTATATACGTAGAGTGACACATATTGCATAATATAACTATAAAATACAATATTATTTTAATCCATAAAATTGTAATTCAATGTCGCTTTAACCCTTAAAATTTTGACTTTATATCACTTTAACCCCAAAATATTGTAATAATTTGTATTTTAATCAAGTAATTATGACTTAAATATTTACACAATAAAATAGATAATTAAGTTAATATTGTAAATATAATGATAAATATATTCATTATTCAATCGTCAAATTTTTTATTCATTTTATATTATAATAAATAAATAAGAAAAAATTCAATGTATATTATTAAAATAAAAATAGAATATCAAAGACATAAAAAAAATGTAATTTCAGGAAATGAAAGTAATAGATATTTTTCACAATAGAAAAATAAGAAAATTTATATAACATAATTAATTATGAAAGTAAAGTATAAATATAGAGAAATTATAATTTTTTTATTTGTGTATTTTATAAAATAAAATAGATAAAAGAGGGGAGACAAATAGAAGAAATATAGTATACTTAAAATAAAAAACTTATTTTAATTTATGCAATACACATATTGAATATTTATTATATAAAACTAAAATTTTAAATAAATGATGTATATAAAAAGTATTATATTTAAATATATAAATTATATTTTAAATTTATGATAAATAATTTATGTTGTACCACAATATTGATTTTAATGATATATTTTTTTAAAGTATTAATATTTAATTTAAATATTTATGATAAATAAAAATAATTTATATATGAAATTAAAAGAATTCCTAAAAATCTTATCATCGAAAAAAAGTCTTTAAAAGTGTTCTTACACAATATAGTTGTTCGTGTTTTATGTATAAAAGTTGATACAATATTAAATACCAAAATTTTAATATGATTTGAATATATTTATAATTTTGTTTATAGTACTAGTTTAATCATCTATTTTATTGTGAAAACATTTAAGTTATAATTACTTGATTAAAATAAAGTCATGATAATATTCGAGGACTAAAGTAATATTGATATCAAGATAAAAACTTCAAGGACTTGAATGACATTGAGTTACAGTTTTAAGGACTAAAATGACACAATATTAAAAGGATATTATGTTTTATAGTTCTAAAACAAAAAAGGAAACAAATAAAAAAAATTATATGCAATAACAAACAAACAAATGTAGAAAGGAGAAAACCTAATAAGAACATAAAATGTAGACATAGAAAAAACATAATAGTAAACAAAAAAAACTAAGAGAAGTGAATACGACATATTTACATGATTCAACCAATTTCACATACATTCACGGAAGAGAAAAAATTTCACTATTTAAAAACAAAGTCAAATTTCTACAACAGAACAACCTATTACTCATATAAGAAACTCCTTAATCTCTCTAACCAATTTTTTAAATCAAATATGAAACAATTATATTTATATCATCTAGTATCATGATTTTCTAACAAATCAAATGGACTTGAAACATTTTATTTTATCTATTTCCAAATTTCTTTTGAAGGCAAAATATCATTTTCGGTTTTAACTTTACAACCTGAGAGTGTAAATAGGTTTAGATGAAACTACAATTCTAATTAAATTAACCCAAATACATTTTATAATGTCACATTGGATCATCACGTTATTTTGAATTTGTTTTATTAAATTTTTTTGTTAATCCATTATTTTATAAAATGACATTTAATTTATTGAATTTAGTTATTTCTAATGTAAAATAATAGTTAAAAATAAAGTGACAAGGGAATAAAAAAGAGAGATATACTTTCTTTTACAATTAATGGGGATAAAAATATGAACTATAATAAATGATGTGGTGGAGAGATAAATACATAAAACATTATTGTATACATTATTGTATGAATTGTTGTATGAATAATGAAACTCTAAAATAAATTATTTTTTTTTAAGTCAAGGACTAACAAAAAAAATTCTTAAAATTTTAGTAATTTTTGACACATACAATCTTAAGGGCTAGTTTGAGAGTTTACTCCATGTGAATGAGTTAAATTGCTCATAAATTATTTAAATTTAACTAGTTAAATACTTGTTTGATTAAAATATTTTTTTTACTCATTGTACCATTTGAACTTTTTAAAATAAATGCTTTTCATTTTTTTTTCTATTTCATCACAACTTAAAAATTTTTAACTTTTAAAAAATTGAGTTACGTTTAAATTTTTCTAAATAGATTTAGTAATAAGAGTGATAATAATCATAAAGTTGGTCATTTTAGTGATGTGGTTGTTAGTAAGTTGGTGGTGTCAATTATTATGATGTGAACAAGAAAGATTATTGTCAAATGTATATCTATTTATATATATATATAGGAGAGTTCAAATAACACTGGTAAAATTTTTACTAAGTGTTACACCGCTCAATAACTTTATATTAAATGTAAATTTTGAAAATCCAATCGTTAGATTGAAAGTTCATATCTCTTAGATCATATATACCAATTTTTGTTAAAATTGAACAACAACTTGAAGGTAATCAAAGTGTTAATATTTTAGTATATTTTGAAATGTATGTATTACGTCAATTTTGTTTTATGAGAATGAATTATCAAATCATCTTAGATTAATATAAAATTTGGTATATATGATCTAAGAGATATGAACTTTCAATCTAACGGTTGAATTTTCAAAATTCACATTTAATATAAAGTTATTAAGCGGTGTAACACTTAGTAAAAGTTACACCGGTGTCTTTTGAACCCTCCCCATATATATATATATATATATATATATATA